ATAAGATGGCTCAGTGGTTGCCCAGGCTTTACTTTGGAAATGTAAAAGAGCTCAGTGGCGCCCCCTTCAGTTAGGACCTAGATCAAGACAGACATACAGCTGAGTGGGAGGGAGGGAGGGACGGTCGGGGAAGAGAAAACCCCAAACCAAGCCCAGGGGTAAGACAGCACAGGTTTTGTGAACCTCTGAAAGTTATCCATTTGAACATAGAACTGGGGACATACAAACGCAGTCACAAATGTGGCGCGTATGAAAATGTAAAGCAAAGATTTACCGATGCTAAATAAAATACTGTGAAGCTGTTTCAGTCCTGTTCTCCGAGACTGTGTGTGGAGCCCAGGTTAGGACTCCTTAGGTGAAAGTGCTCAGTGTCCCTGGTACCCGGACCTTGTGCTTCCACCGATGGTGGATTCTTAAGCATCTACAATGTGCATGTTGCTATTCTCATTGAAGGGTGGGAAAATTCAAGTTCAAAGTCATTAAGTGACTGGGCTGAGCACAAAGAGGAGACAGTGACACTTGGGTGAGAGACACTGGAAGAGCTGTGACCAGGTGGGTGAGGCTGGCAGGGTGAGAGACAGATGTTGAGACTGATGGCCTTGGGCAACCAGACCGTGGCTGGTGAAGACAGGAGTGAGGGATTGTGGCCGTGGTGTTAACTCTCTGGATGTCTAGATATCTGGGCCCAAGGCATCATTTGTGCCCTTGTTACAGTGTTTTGGGTGACGTTAACATTTAAAGCAATATGGGTTCCTTCCTTCCTTCCTTCCTTCCTTCCTTCCTTCCTTCCTTCCTTCCTCTTTCCCCTCTCTCTGTCTCTCCTCTCTCTCTCTCTCTCTCTCTCTCTCTCTCTCTCTCTCTCTCTCTCTCTCTCTCTCTCTCCTTCTCTCTCTCTCTCTCTTTGTGAGGGTCTCACATAGCTCAGGTTGGCCTCAAATTTACATGCAGCCAAGGATGAACTTGTGACACTCTTGACTCTCTACCCGATGCTCAGTGCTGGGATTTCAGACAGGCACAATCAGGCCTGGCTTACGGTGCAGTCGATGCTACTTCAATATGCCGACTTTGAATTTTCAGTTAACTAAATTAACTAATTGATTAATTTTGTGACAGTCTCCCATAGCCCAGGCTGGCCTTAAATTTGATTTGTAGCCAAAGATGTCCTTGAATCTCTGATCCTCCTGCCTCTACTTTCTGAGTTTGGGCATTACAGGTGTGTACCACCACACCCAGTTTGTGGAGTCCTGGGGATCAAACCCAGGGCTTCATGTGTGCCAGGCAGGCACTCTACAAACTGAGCTACATCCAGCCCTGTCTATACCTTTTACATGTTTAGAAGTTTAAAGTTAACTGAGTCACTGATGGGATTTCAGATTGTAGATTTTCCTGTAGAATTCAAAGACCCAGAGAGAAGGTAGCATGTGGCCTTTCTGGCTTGTCTTTCATGTGTACTCAGTGATCAAGTTGTGCACTTTCTCTGAGGCATACTGGGTGCTAGATGCTACCTTTGCCTGCTTTCAAGCTGAACCCATTACAAATGAAAACACAGATCCTTGTTCAGAAATTACTGGGAATTTCAAGATGTCGGTAGCATCCAGCAGTGCTCACAGCTGAGTGAGCGTTTCACAGGGTGGCTGGTTCCTTGGAGCAGCCACAGATCACACATGACAGATCGGGCATACAGCCCTGTCCGTGAGGATGACCCAAGAGCTGGGCGTTGGGGTTTTCCCCTATTAAACAGTCATCTGGTTGGGAGTTTGAAAGGAGTAGGGGACTCTCTCACAGTGTTCTGTGGTATAAAAACATGGCTTCATGTGCTTATTTTTTTCTTAAGTGTAACCTGGAGACCTCCGTGAATATAGTGCAAGCTCCCTTATCCAGCTGTCCAGGAGAACACAGCACAGCCTCGGAGACAAGAGAGACCCGCCTCAACAGGGTGAAAGATGAGACTGACTCCTGAAGGTTGTCCTCTGACCCCCCCCCCCACGCACGTCCTGCCTAAATAAATAAATATTTTTAAAAAGTGGAAAGCAGGAAATACTTGTCAGTAATTGTGATGGTTACTGTCGTCCATTGGACGGCACCGGAAGCTTTTGGGGACAAAGCTGTCGCTGGTCTGTGGTGCCCAGGAGCGGCCAGTGGACACAGACCTGGGGCTCCCCACCACAGTTTTCTTAGAGAAACTATGGGGTCCCCATGGTGGCCCACCCACCGGGAGGGAAGCTGCGGAGTTGGCAACCCCGCCGCCGCCTCTCTTCCTGTCTTTGTAGTCACTCAACAGCAAGACACAGGGGCCGCCGTCAGACTGCCTGTTCAGACTCCGCCATCAAACGGCCCGGGGGGGGTCGGGGGGGGAGCTCCCCTCTTGCTGTTGCTGTTGGCTGAGCCCCCCCCCCCGCCCCCGCGAAAGCTCATGGTCTTGGCCAACAGTGTGGGGGTTCGCTGCCTGAATAAGAAACACACACATCGGGCAGACGGAGGAATGCTTGGGTTAAAAGCTCCAAGAATCACTCCCGAGCTGGCGAGACCCACTGTCTGAATCTCAAGATGGCCTTGACACAAGCTTGACTTTGATATGCTTCTGTACTACAGGAGGTCTTTTCTGATGTAGACAAGAAAACAATAAAAAAAGCCCACCCCACGAACATATTAAACTTCATCGATTTTTATCTACATGCACACACCCAAATCAGGGCTGGAGAGATAACTTAGAGAAACATCAGCCATGTAAGTCGGAGGACCAGAGTCCTGTGCTCGGAACCCACACAAAGTCTGGATTTGGAGCCCCGGATTTCCAATCCCAGTACTTTTATGACTAGATGGGAGGTGGAGGCAGGAGAAGCGCCCTGATCCAGCTGTCCACAAGTGCCCCACAGTGTCGCATTGGAGACAAGAGAGACCCCGCCTCAACAGGATGAAAGGTGAGAACTGACTCCCGAAAGTTGTCCTGCGACCTCCACATGCACGGCCTGCCTGAATAAATAAATATTTTAAAAAGTGGAAAACAGGAAATACTTGTTAGAAATCGTGATGGTTACTATTGTCCAATCGACAGTACCAGAACCAACATTAGAAACAAAACTCTGCATGTCTCTGCAAAAGAGTTTCTCAGTTTAGGTTAGTTGGGGGAGGAAGATTCATAGTGAACTTTGGGAGCACTGTTCCAGGGGCTGGGAGCACTGACTGAATACGAAAGGGATGTGGGAGCAGAACTCATCTCTGCCTCATGTCCCTGTGGTGATGACTTTTTGCCTCGAACCGTAGACCCCTCTCTGCCGTGAGCTGCTTTTGTTACTGCAATGAGAAGTCACTAAAGGGGTAATGTTTTCATGGCTCCCAAAGATGAATTTGCTTTTCTTCACCTGTGTAGTTTTGTCCACAGATGCCTCATGAGGCATCGATCTCACTGCACAGATAAGTACGTAAAATACAGGAAGCGTCCAAGATTGGTGGATCACAGGGATCCAGATGGGGCGGAGGCCAGCACTGCCTCCCAGCCTGAGTCGTTGGAGGCAAACTGCTCAGCCTGACTCATCACCACCCACCTCGAGGCAGAGGCTTCCTAAGCTGTGGAGAAGATGCCGAGATAATACAGTGAAAACCTGAATGTCCAGTTTGGGCCACCAGCAAACACAAGGAGCATGAGGTTGAGGTTTGATCATTGTTAAGGATAAGGGGTCAGCCAAAGAGAGGCACAAGTAAGCGTTGAGCCCACAGGCAGCCTCAGACCCAGATGGGGACCTCAGGTCCACCACTGGGGGTGATGCTCTAGTTTACCAACTTCAAATCTAAACCTAGTACCTAAAGGATTTAAACCTTCAAAAATGTCAAGCTCCCCACGGGAATTAAAAACCAGAGCCCCAAATATCTCCAGTTTGGAGACCCTCTCAGGATGCTAATCCTGCTTCCTTTTCTACCTTGTCCAGAGTCCTGTCACCTGCCTTGGGAAGACAGCTGCTGAGGATGTGGGGCTCAAGGAGTGGAGGATTTTATGTGAAATAGCACGGCATCTCTCCACTTTATGCCATGTTTTTTTTTAATCCTTCTTAAGAGATTGCCAAAAAGCCTGGAGAGATGGATGGTTCAATAAAGTGTTTGCAAGCTTGAGGACCTGAGTCTGATGCCCGGAACTCACATTAAAAGAGCCAGGCACGGAGTCCAGAGCTTAAAGACCCAGCATTGCAGAGGTGGTGGGTCCCTGGGGCTCTCTAGTCGGTCAGCTTAGACTAACTGGTGAGCTCCAGGTTAATGAGAGACCCTGCCTCAAACAACAAGGTGGACACTATTCCTGGCCTCCCCTTGCATGTGCACACACGCACACTCAAACACACACACACACACACTCACAATCACACGCAGAGATATGATAGATAGATGATAGGTGATAAATAGATAGATAGATAGATAGATAGATAGATAGATAGATAGATACACAGACAGACAGACAGATAGATAGAGGAACTGAACTGACTCATTTCTCCTTCTCCCAAGTATATGTGTGCGTGCTTGGCGGTCAGGGAGAGGTTTCCGTGAGGAGGAGGAGAAGGAGGAGGAGGAGGAGAAGGAGGAGGAGGAGGAGGATGCTCCCGGGTAGCAGTTCTGAACAGAGCTGGCTCTCTCCACAGGGAGTCAGAGCAGCAGGAGGAGGAAACAGTCATGATAAAGCTCCCAAGCTGACACAAGGTCCTAAACATCCCACAGATTCAGTCCTTGCTCCCAAACTGAGGTCCAGCAAGTGAAGAGAGCTTTGTCCAGATACTGTGGAACCAGATTCCTGCCCTTCCTGGGTCCTTGGCAGCTTGGCTGCCCTCAATCCCAATGTCTTATGGTCCCCCGAGACACCCAGGCCCAAGGACCACAGTGACTCTTTCATCTGGGGAACGCTCCCTTTCGCCAGGCCACTGACCTGCCTTCCAACTCATCCACCCACACACCCGAGGGCAAGGGCCCAGCTTTTGAGAGAAATGACCGCCAATCCCCCGTCACTCCGACTCACTCACAGAAGACCTGGAGTCCCATCCACCTCGCTGCTCTGGAACACAGCTGTCTCGGGCTCAGGTAGTGACAGGGACACAGCAGGTCTTCCAGCTTCACCTCACTCGCCAACCGGAAGCTTGGAGGCTAGGGCGTCTGAGAGACAGTTGTCTGGTCAATTACGGTCTCTGAGTACAGCCTGCGTGGGCACACATGCCCTTTGGTTAACATTAACTACCGGGTGTGCCCTACCAGGTGGCCTTGCTGAGGCAGGCATTCAAGACCAACCGGAAATGTCATATCTGCATTTGGAACAAGAACACCCGAGACATCTACACATGGCCGACTAATGGGTCTCTGTGGCTGGCAGGTGAAGCGTCCCCCCTCCACTGCTCCATCACCCTTTTCCGACCTCCCTGCTCTGGCTTTATTTGTCGGCTTCTCTAAAAGTCACCAGACTCCTGTCAATGAGTAAAAAGGTCTCCTGCACGCCAACTGTGCCCACAGTGGCACGTCCTCTGAACCGTCCACCTGGCAGTTGTTCCCACACGGCTTTGGACTTTTTTTTTCTTCCTATTGAGCAATTTGGTTTCCCAATACTGAAAAGGGCCAGTGAATTCTGAGGAAGGAGCAACTTCCTTTTCTGGTTGTTTTTAGCATAGTAGCTGACTCAGGTGATGTCTGTAGGTAGGAAACGGTACTGAGTAGGCAGGTCAATGGGCCATCGTGCTGAATGAGGGGCAGTACAACGGGAGTTGAAGGTAAGAGCCGAAGGGAGAAGACAGCCTTCTCGGGAGGTGGGAGATGTTGGCCCTGAGACCTCCAAGGTGGTGCAGAGACCTGGCCTGGCTAGGAATGACTCCAGGCCCTTCAGGAGTCCAGGGTGTGATTCTGGGATGCTACGGTGTGCTGAGAACCACTGAGTTTCTGGTTGATTCCGTTAGCTTCTCTACGGTGAGGAAGCTAAGTGTTCAGGATCCTCTCTCGGCACTCATCAGTCGTTGGTAGAGGGGATGCTGTGAGAAATCTCTGCTGGCGGATGGCCCTGGGCATGGCTCAGCCTGGTCCCTTCCTCCCTAGCAACAATGGTGTAGACAGGAAGGGAGCAACTGGGGGTGGTAGTGTGAGCTTCCACAACTTAGTGTCTGCTCCATCTTTAAAAGTTTTGTGTTTCATTTTATTTTTTATTTGTGTGTGTGTGTCTGTGTGTGTGTGTGTGTGTGTGTGTGTGTGTCTTTGTGCATGTGTGTCTGTGTTTGTGTGTGTGTCTCTCCCCGTGTCTGTCTGTCTCTCTGTGTCTGTCTGTGTTTGTGTATCTCTCTGTGTGTCTGTCTCTTTGTGTGTGTGCATGTATGTCTATGTTTGTGTGTGTCTGTGTTTGTGTGTGTGTCTCTCCCCGTGTCTGTCTGTCTCTCTGTGTCTGTCTGTGTTTGTGTATCTCTCTGTGTGTCTGTCTCTTTGTGTGTGTGCATGTATGTCTATGTTTGTGTGTGTCTCTGTGTGTGTGTCTCTCTCTGTGTGTGTATCTGTGTGTGTGTGTGTGTCTGTCTCTCTGTGTGTGTGTGTCGGTCTATGTGTATGTGTGTACATGTGGATATTAGAGGCTGACATCCAGCGTCTCTCTGCCTTATGTTTTGAGACAGGGTCTCTCACTATATGTGGCAGAACTTGATGATTGGCTAGACTGGGTGGCCAGGGAGCCCCTGGGATCTGACCATTTCTGCCTCCCCAGCCCTGAGGTTCCGGGTTTTCCACTGTGCCCAGCTCTTTGTGGAGGCCCTGGGGATGCAAACCAGGTCCTTGTGCTTGGGCCACAGACTTCACTGAGTCTTCTGCCCAGGTCTGACAGTTTCTGACCCGACTGCACCCTCCATCCCATGAAAGACTTCCCATGAGCTGAGACGGAGTCATGGAAGGAATGAGCCTCCCTGGAGGTAGGACAGGCTGGGGCATTTGAAGATCACTGGTGTCTGCTGGGGTTTCAGCATGGACATTAAGATGCAAATGTTCTGAAGGGACTTTTTTTTTTTCCTGAGTTGGGAGGGGGGCGGGTCACTGTGTAGCCAAGGTTAGCCTCAAACTGAATTTTCCTCCTTCAGCCTTCTGAATGCTGATTAGAGGGAACTCGGGGCTTCACGTGAGCCAGACAAGCATTCCACTGCCTACATTCCATCCCCGGCACTTTAGATAACGTGTTGATTTCTCAGCACTCATTGCACATTCTTAGGAAGTCCTGAGTAGAGAGAAAATAAAAGTAGCAAATAATTTATTTTGTTTTTAAAAAGATCTTACTTTATATTTAAATTGTGTGTGTGTGTGTGTGTGTGTGTAAACATGAGTGTGGGTGTCTTTGAAGGCCAGAACAGGGTAGTGAGTCTTTGGCACTGAAGTAAGAGAAAGTTGTGAGCTACCTGACCTGGATACCGGGAACCGAACTCTGGTCCTCTGCCAGAGCGGCACATGTTTTGACCACCGAGCCAACTCTCCAGCTCTCAGATAACAACATGTGACGGAAAAACATGTTAGGTCAGGCGGAGAGGTACCAGTGAAGGAATCTCAAGGGGACTGAAAACGGCCCAGGAAGTCTGGAAAGACGGCTCAGTGGTTAGGACACTTGCTGCTCTTGCCGAGGTACCTGAGTTTCGACCCCAGCACCTAAGTTGAGTGGCTTCAGGGTGTCTGACACCTCTTCTTGCCTCCACACTCATGCACACATACACACACTCAGACACACACTACTACACATCAAAATAAACTAAAAATATAATAATAGTAATAATAATAATAATAATAATAATAATAATTTGGCTCTAGACCCGTAAGATTCTAACTCCTTCAGTCATGAACATTTGACTAGTTACTCAGTCTCACAGAACCTTTGACCCAGGTGTGGCTCTTCTTTATTCTGGGATCCTCAGCTCACAGAATCATCTAAGAGCATAGTTCTGCCACTAAATGTACAAGGTCACTCACATTGGGCACTGAGGATATGTCAACTTCTATCTCCAAAATGTTTTTGTGACTTCCAACAAACATTTGGAGTCATTAAGCAACTCCCCTCCCCCTGCTTCCTGTCTAGTGGCTGATCACCCCACTGTCTCTACGAACTTCACTGTTCTAAACATCCCGTGTGGTGGAGACAGACAGTATTCGTAGTTTTGTGACTAGCTTATTTCACTTAGAAGTCAAGTGTTAACAAGACGATCTTCCCGGACTGCTAACTGTCCCTGGGCAGCTGCTGGGTGTGCCTGTGACCCCTGCTCAGAGTAGGCAGGGTGAGTGACCACGCACCCCATGCTCACTCTGGCTGGAGTCACTAACAACGGATGGATGGAAACCAACCCATACCTTTATGTCTAGACAGACTCCCATGATGCTCCAGCGACTTTGCCTTTAAGCCTAAGAATGGTGGCAGTCTTGTCTATCCAGAGACTCGAACCAGGCCATAATGCTGAGACCTTCCATAATTTAGTACCAAACAGGAACGGTTGTTCCAAAAGAAAGTCAAGACTCATAAGGGTTTGACAAAATGTCCACACACCATAGCATTGTGTTTACCTTACTCACTGCTTAATATAATAGTCCTGAAAATATCATTAAAATAAAGGGGTTTTTGTTTCGTTTTGTTTTTACATGGTGCTGTGGATGGAACTCTGGGCTTCATGCATGACAGACACGAATTACAGGCAGTTGTGAGCCTTAGATGTCCTCCACTGTCTCTGTGCCTGGACTGGCAACCCTGTGGCTATCGGACAAACCTTTAAACTGTATCCTTAGCAGACTAGTAGCTTCCTCCAACCTAGACTAAGACTGTCACCAGCTAACATCTGAGACCAATAACAGACTTCTCCACGGTGTACTAACCCCAGCCTGTGGACCAGCCAGTTTAATGACAAACACCTTGACTTATCTTTGTTATGAAACTAATGAAATTCGAAATAGCTCTTTCTATGGTGGAACATGTCTTTTTACACAATTTTTTTTTCAAAACATAGTTTCTCTGTGTAGCCCTGGCTGTCCTGGAACTCACTCTGTAGACCAGACTGGCCTTGAACTCAGAGATCTGCCTGCCTCTGCCTCCAGAGTGCTGGGATTAAAGGCGTGCGCCACTATGCCCAGCTACATACTTTTGTTATTAATCTATTATTAATATTTTGTTGTATGTATGTGGATGCTTTGCCTGCATGTATGTTTGTGCACCACATGTGTGCAGTGTCCATGGAGATTAAAAAAAAATGGTGCAGAGTCCCACATCTGGAGTTACAGATGGTTGTGAGGCACCATGTGGGTGCTGGGGATTGAGCCCGAGTCTTCTGGAAGAGCAGTCAGTGCTCTCAAATGACTGAGCCATCTTCTCAACCCCGGAACATGTCTTTTGAGCCAACCCAAATCTGTTCCCAAGTCACTGATTTAGCTCAGAATGAACCGCTGATTCCTTTGGAAGTGAGAGCTGTCTTGAGTCAACCATTAAAGTGGTGCATTTTATTTTTCGGGTGTTTGTGTTATTTAGTTTTCCATTGCTGCAACAAAAACCCTGAAACAATTAACTTAAAAAGAAGAAAGATTTATTTTGGTTCAGAGTTTTAGAGAATTCACCCATGACCAGTGGCCTGTTGCTCGCCGAGGGCTTCATGACCGGGAGTGTGAGGTGGAGTGCTGCTCTCTATGACCGGACAGGAAGAAAAGGGGAAGCAGAGAAACTGGGGTCTCATGATCTCCTCACAAGAATGTCTCACGACAAAAAAAAAAAACAAAAAACAAAAAACAAAAAAACCCTCTCATTAGGTCCTGCCCATCACCGCCCAATGGTGCCATCCCGAGGACCAAGGCTTGAAGTTTGGAGACACCTGGTCCTTAGGGTAGCATTGTTTTACCTCATATTTTATATGTAAGTGTAAAAGTATAAATACAAATGCATTGAGCTCACATGATCAGCCAGTTGTCCTTGCCCACGTTTATGAGGAAGGAGTTCTGTGGGATACTGTGTTCTCAGACAATGGAAACACCCTTTTCCCATCTCTGTTCTGTCAGTGGCCGAGAGCCAGATGGAAATCCCGGAGAATACTTACATTAGGACTCAAGGTCATGACAGGAAGCCTGATGCTGTGGGAGGGAGGCTCCCTCAGCCCTTGGAGGCTGCCCCAGGCAGAGGTGCC